GTGGGGTGTGTGTGGTGTTGGGGGGGGGGGGGGGTTATGTGAAATATCTTGACCCTCTCTAGTTTTTTTTTTAAAGATGAAATTTGCTTTGATTTAAGTACGTATAAGTGGTCTGTTTCATTCTTTCAAAAAAATCTGACCTACAACTTCTCTTTGGTACAATCACAATAGACTTTGGAGCCAGAGCCAAGTCCAGCACATCATCCATAAAGTGAGGCTTGGGAATGAGTTTAGTAAAGCAGTAAGTCCCATAAAGCTTCTGTCATGAATGATGTGACACGGAAACAGTTGGCAAAGCACAACTAAATGGACTCCTGGGGAAAATGGCCATGGGCTGATGAAGGGGTGGACCGGGGGAGTCAGACAATGACCAAATAACAAGTTGATCCTCATTCGTCCTTAAATTCCTGTGTCCACACCCAGCTGCTCCCGGCCAGACAGAGCCAAGCAGGAGGAAGAGCAACAAACAAACACACTGCCAAAACAAGTGGCCCTGTGATTTGTGTTTAATATTCCGATTCTCACTGAGGCAGGAGAGAACATGACACTGCTAACACAAGTAAATGATAAAGATACAGCAGGTGAGACAGCTGAGTTCTTCAAGAGCATAAGAGGGAAATAAACCCACTGAGCTCAACATCTGACAGAGTCTGATGTCTTTTCAATCCACAGAAGTGTGGAATGGCCATTTGGAAAAGGAGAGATTGTGAGATTCATGGTTTATCTACCAGCTGATCACAGCAGCAAAACAGAATTAACATGTTGGTGTTTGTAATTTTCAAATCCTGTTTATTTCTACAAGGATTTTGATAGAGTCTACCTAAATTGAAGAAGTTAACAGTTACAAAACAAAATGCTGCAACATAAACCTTTTCCACTTGTAGGAACTTAGTGGCCCATAACTGAACTTATCCCCACTGTCCTGGGTTCTGTTTTTGTTTCCACTGCCCTCCACCTGCTTGGGAGATGACAAATTTCAGTACCCTTCAGGAAGTGGTACTAAATCAAATCTGAATTTGTTGATTTGTTTAACCAGTGACAGAAATAAGGGAAAATATACTGGAAGAGCAAAGTGGAAGGGACCATATGAGTCGTTCAAGTTCCACCAGGTTAAAGTGTACGGGAAGCTGCAGAGTACACCTCATTAAGTTCTCACGTTGGAAGTCCACTCATACTGTAGTGTATAAAAAAAAAAAAGCTCACAAACCTGGAAACTCTAGGTATTTGTGCATCATAAACAACTAAAAAGGTTGACCGATTATCAAAATAGGTTAATTTTTCTGTGGATGTGTGAACTGTTTATTCTAATTTAACCATTATTTTTCCAGGGTAATCCCACTGAGGTTTACAACCTAGTGAGGTGATTGTTTTAGCACCAGACCAAACAAAATTTATTGCACCTAAGCTAGTCTAGCTACCACCACCTCTGTTAGAGCCTCAGTGAAATAGCTTTTAATTAAACGTTATTAGGAAACACTGACTGAGGAGACAGGACTATATGTGGCAGTAGTTGCATCATAGCACAGGCGTTTAGGCCTTGCACATAGCTCAGGGCAGCACTAGGATAGGCCTTTCATGGCTAAGCCTGCAGATTACTCTCTTTGAACAAGGCGTATCCAATTGCCAGAATGCATTGGGATACCACCCTGCACTGCTCAGCTCAACGGTGCGGATTTGTGCCTTTGATGTGCTCAAATCCAGAACAGCAGGAAAGGGGTTAAAGGTAGCCGCACCCTCAGCTTCACCTTTTACACTTATCTACAGACAGAAAGTTCTCATCCGTAATAGCTCATACAATGATTGAGACACAAGAGGATAAAAACAAACTGGAACTCTTATTGAATTTGTGCTAATGTGAGAGTAGCGTGCATCTTCTCTTCTCAAGAGTGTGAGTCATAAAGACGCATATCAACTCTAGCACAGCGAATCCCCTCCCATGAGGAATAATCCCGTTTCATAAACATGCAAAACTTGGCAAAATTACATCCATCGAAAAGCCATGAATACTGAAAACCTACTATTTGGCGGGAAGCTGTGGTAGTGTAGCAGGGGGGCATCCCTCTTTCTGTAACCCCTGTGCCTCTATCACCCCCTCATGCCAATGTGAATACCTACGTACATATGTGGTCCCTATATGGCTTGGTTTTTGTGGCTCACTGTGAGACGATGGGCTCGGGAAATTGCGCTGCCCCTCATCAGATTGAAGCCTGAATTCCCCAGACTAAATTGGCCGAGTCTTGAGGCCTGAGCTGGGAAAGTAGATGAGTCAATAGACTGTAATGAGACGTTATTTACCCAGCTGGTGGGTGGAAATGCTGAGACAATCCTGAGGAAGCACTCTTAACTCACCCAGCTGGACGCCAAGGCCTACAGCCAAAACTGCATAACCCCAACCCTCCACCCCCTTATATTGGTCTGTGAAGTCTCAAAGGCAGTAATGTTAACATACATGCCGGTGGTGTTCAGTTGGGAGTTACAGTGGTGGGAAAGAGATGACAAGGGAAGAGCAAGTGCGCAGAAGAGCAATAACAAGTGCGTGAGGCAGCTGGATTTCTGAAGATGGAATGACTGAGAATCATTTAAATAAACACAAATAAACATATGTTCTGGCAAAGTGAAACACGAGTTCAAACCCACATGAGAGGAAGCAAGAGTTGGGGAGAAGGCGGGACTTACTATTTCACCCAGGGAGGCGGCCAGCATGTGAGTGACAGGTGCCACGTGCGGTGCTGCCAGTGCTCCCCTGGCGCTGAGCAGGGACTTCGTGCATTCGTAGGTGACAAAGAAAGCAGCAGCTGAAACCAAGCAGAACCACAGGCATTTAAGGCCCATTAGTCAACCAGCATACAGCAATTAATATTCCTCACAACCACTGACAGGAGGAAAAAGGCAGGAGTGTGTGTGTGTGTGTGTGTGTGTGTGTGTGTGTGTGTGTGTGTGTGTCTCTCTCTACATGTAGAGTTGAAATAAAAACCAAGGAAGTTAAGTGTATCTCATGTGGAAAGAGTTCAGACTTTACTCCTAGTATTCAAAAAAAACTTCCTCCTACAAAAAGTGGAGACCTTTGCTGTGTGCTGTGGCCCCTCTCTCCCCATGTTTTCTGTGTTAGGAGATGCACCAACTGCATGAAGCCACCAAATCTCGTCTGCCCCCTGGTGGCTGTTTGCATAATAGGTCATAAATCCCGCCTCCTCCATGTTAGTGAATGGGACATGAACTAAAAACTCAAAGTACAAATCAAATAAATTCTTCCCAGAGGTCGTTTCTGTGGTCTCGGCTAGATATTATCACAGCGATGTGTGTACAAGTGGATATTTTCTTGGTAAGTTTTTTTTTTAATAAGTTATTTGATTATATTAAAAGAGGTGTTTTTTTTTGGTTGATCTCCATCTTTGATTGATGGTTCAATGCTGTTATTCCACTTATGGTAGCTACTGTACAGAATCTGGTTCCAGAAAAGCAAGATGGCAGCCACAGTACTCACGCTATGTTGCATTTTTATTTCTTCTTTTCAAGGGGCTGACATTGAAAAGTTTGTATGTTGCAGTTACGACTGACAATGTTTGATTATGGATAAAATGCTGTAATGAAACAGACACTTAAGGTCTGAACACGTTGTTCAACCTGCTAACGATCTGATTCCCAAGAAAACACTGACCATGACAAACACTAAAATGCTAAAAGCAATACACTTCTACAAAAACGGCTGATTTGAGCAGGCACAACAACCTTGATTATGCCGCAACATTTTATTTATTTATAGAGTGGGCATCTGAGCATCAGACATATTAAGGTTCCACCTTATTAACCAGACTGTAATAAAATTATGAGAAACTCCAGGGCCTCATTATTCCAGCGATCCCACGAGAGAGAGTTAATCTGCCAATTATTTTTTTGGTTTTATTGTTTAGTAGTGAAAAATTACATTTCTTTAAACCCCATAGTGACACCTTCAACTTGCTAGTTTTATCCAAACAAGAGTCTTAAAACCAAATATAACCAGTTTACAATAATATAAAACAGAAAAAAAGTGGTAAATCCTTATAATGAACAAACTGGAACTGAAAATGTTTTTTTTTCCTCCTCAAAAAATGACTATCAATAAATTATCATACAAGTTGTCATTTAATTTTATTTTGCTCAATTAACCATTTAATCGACTTGTCAAAACTGTAGCTCTAAATTGTTCAACTTTCTCATAAAGACTGCAAGGATGATATCACACAGAATATAATATCAAAGAGAAGATTGCCAAGTTTTGAAATGGTCTACCTAGGATGCAATCTGAGTGCCTAATCATACAAATCAAAGCAAACTACTTTGATTGTGAGCTACTAAAAAGATCTAAGCAATCCACAGCTACAGTACAAACCAAAATGTGATTGTGCTAAAGCAAAAAGAAGCTTTAAACACCCAACTCAGACATGTCCCTTTGTAGACATTATGCTCAACAGAGTACAAGGTCGAGTCTCATTATGACTTCATGCAAAGAAGAAACTTTGTTGTTTGGTATGTTCGTCCTTCATAAACCAGCCATCACAACAAGTACCGTACCACTGGGGAAGGAGCCGACGGCAGCAGATGGAACCCCAGCGTAGATGCCCCTGAAACCCCCGGCTTTGTAGAAACCCTGCTGACTCTGCAGTCTGGTCTTAATGGTGTCCAGGGGGAAGAGGGTCAGATCCACACACATTCCTGCACAACCTCCTGCCTGGGAAGATTAGTATCACTTTGAGATCACGTTGTAAGACACAATGCACACTCTTTAACACCAGTGGTGGAAGAAGTGCACAGACCTTTTACTTAAACCTATATTAATAAAATTTTGGCCACTTGGCAGCAGAACAAAAAACTATAAATGCAGCAGCGACATATCATCTTAGCTACAGAAGCAGCAGACACAGAACAACATCCGACATCTTTGGAATCATGTTTTAACCTGCTGTTCACCTTCCTTCTAACTTTGTTATGGTCTCCATCTTTCTACCAACTCCCAGGGGAAAATATCTGACTCCTCTCCAGATGCTTAATCTTCCCACTATGTTCTAATCAGAAGACATGCAGAAGACAAAAAAACTGCTGCAGCTGGAAGTGCGGTTGATTAGAAAAGAATGCATCAACAATAAAGCACCTTTAGTGCTGTACTGTTACTTTACCAAACAGTACAAGTATGGACTGTTTGACAGAAATGAGGTGCTTTCAGTAAACAGCTGTGCCACAATAAAAAGAAACAAAGTTTTTTTTTTCAATAAACTATATTGAAGCATGAACCATAATACTATTAATTATCCCCAAATTTGACCTCTGTTGTTGTTTTTATTTTAGGCCTACTACTGATGCATTAGTGTTTCGTAGTTGCAGCTGGCCCAAAAAAGAAGTTATTTGACCTACTTTATATTGATTAGTTTAATGACCATGTGTCATCCATTGTATCAGCCAGGCTTCATCGAGTACCTCAAAACTATACTTAGATGTTGTACTTGACAAATGTCATTAATTACTATCTGCCATTAAAACAGTCACACTAAAGAGGGACTATTTTACCTATTTATGGTTCAAGGTTATCTTTTATTTTACTCATCTTTATAAAAAAAAAAAAAAAAAAAGGTGCAAAGCAATAATATGTGTAAGGGACACAAACAAAAACTATTCTGTTGTCTTTTTTTCCCTGAGCTGGACTTGTAAAATTGGGGTCAAGTTGAACAGTCTTGGCATTTGAAATGAGGGAAGGGGCTGGCTCGTGTTCTTATCCACAACAGCTGATTCATCAGTGTGGTTCTGCCCACTGCAGAAGAAAATTTACTCAGTACAGTTTACAGTACACACATTCGCTCCAGCTCAGTTAACTAAATTAGCTCCCATGTTGTCAGGCTGATTTGTTTTCTAAGGTTTTGTTCTTTTTTGTGATCAACAGCCTGTGCATTAGGTTTGGTTACACATTGTGGTCGACATTTAGTCCTTATGGGTTTCAACACGCAGCTCGCTAACAGAACATAACATAACGGCGACTTAACCTTACTGGATTGCAAGGAGCCGTCAAACTGTTTATCTGCAAGTACAATAATGTTGGCTAACTTTGGAAAGCATCATGACATCTATTTAAAAAATGACCATCTTACCACGAGGGACGCAACAAACTCTCGTCTGTCCATATTCCGCTCTCAAAATCTCCTTTGTCAGTCATGCAAATCGTAAATTCGGAACTGCTGTGCATGTTTGACACTCCGCTGAAATCAAAACACGCCGGCCACAGACGCTGCCATCTTGGCTGACTTACTTCCGCGTGACGTCATAGCGCATGTGATGATCACGTGAGTACATTTTTTTTAAACTTTACGATGAATTAGGCCAACTCAAATTCTTTACAGGTTTTATTGGAACCAAGACGTCAGGTACAGTATTTCAGGCAACAAGGGATGGTGTTTAGAAATTGTAGATATTATTGTTATTTTATTATTATTATTACAATAAATTGAGGACAAGTTAGAGATAATGTACACTGCTCAAAAAAATAAAGGGAACACAAAAATAAGACATCCTAGATCTGAATGAATGAAATATTCTTATTAAATACCTTGTTCATTACATAGTTGAATGTGCGGACAACAAAATCACACAGAAATTATCAATGGAAATCAAATTTAGCAACCCATGGAGGTCTGGATCTGGAGTGACACCCAAAATTAAAGTGGAAAACAACACTACAGGCTGATCCAACTTTGATGTAATGTCCTCAAAACTAGTCAAAGTGGAGTAGAGGTGCAATGAAAGCTTTGTTGAACTTTGACCCCAGTTGCGTAGACCTTTTTTGTCGCAGCCAATCACTACTGAATAGTGCTTGAAGTGATGAAAACTATTTAGCCTACATGTGTTTTCAAATTACCCTCATCTCCAGAACAGACAAAGACACACAGCCTGTTTATTTGGCAAAATATCATCATGCAATTGCAGCTACCAAGACTCTTTAAAAAACACTGTTGAAGTCACTGAAACATAGCAAACTACTACTAGCAGCATTAGCACTGTAACTAAGGTGGAGATGTTGGTCCACAGCTGAGCCCAGGGCCAACCGCATCAGCATATGAGGATGAGGATCTCATCTCGGTACCTAATGGCAGTCAGGCTACCTCTGGCGAGCATATGGAGGGCTGTGTGGGCCCCCAAAG